ATGTTTATATATATGAATATATATATATATATATATATATATATATATATATATATATATATATATATATATATATATATATGTGTGTGTATATATATATACATATATATGTGTATATATATATATATACATATATATATTTATATTTATACATATAAATGTATATACATATGAATTTATATATAATTATGTTTATACACACACACACACACACACACACACACGTATATATATACATGTATATATATTTATAATTATATATGTATATTTATAATTATATATATATATATTTATATTTATACATATATATATATATATATATATATATATATATTTATAGTTATATATATATATTTATTTATAATTATATATATATATTTTATAATTATATATAAAAATTTAAATAAGACATTTGACGGATGGAAAATGTTCTTTATCTGTCTCTCCGGTCTGGTGTCAAGATGCTGTAGCTACTACGCTAAAAAGCACAATCGGTACATCCCAACTGAGTTGAGTCATCGTTGTTAATTTAAACAACGGCCCACCAGAACGAAGAACAGGAGAACAATCCCCAACCATCAATTGCCATAACTGCCTATTACCCTCAACCCCCTAATCCTTACGCACAGGACACACCGGCTTGTTGACCTCAGATCATCCAAACTGCTGAAAAAGAAAAAAAAATAGATATGGGAAGGGAGGGAACCATTGACACCAGACCTCCAAGACAGAAAAAGAACGTTTTCCATCCGTCAAATGTCTTATTTTCTGTCTCTCCGGTCTGGTGTCAAGATGCTGAATAGCAACTGAATATGAGGGAATTTATAACTGCTACAAAAAAGAATTGTATACTGTAGTACCAACTTGTTGAGATGCTTGTTTAGGTGGCGTAGTCATTGCCACACAAGGGATGTCGAGTATCGATTAACAAAGGATCTGCATGAAGACCACTGACCTGCTTCTTTCACTTTTTCAAGATTTAGAGATCTTAAAAAAGTAAGAGTAGAAGCATACTTCCTAACTTGGTGAGCCGTAGGAGCATGACCTGGATCAGCAGATTCAATTATCCTTCTAATTATCTTGGCTACATGAAGTTGGGTGCATGGCCTAAGTGAATCTGGCCATAACCATAGTGCCTCATTAAAATCTGCTGGGGTTGCTTCTATATAACATTTCAAAGCTGCTACTGGGCATAAAACATGAGAGGAATCATTTTCTAACCATGATGGAATTACTACAGGTTCTAAAAGATGACCTTGCCGTTCATTTTTTGCTAGAAAACGAGGATGGGGAGAAAAAGAGACGTACAAATATTTGGACCAAATTTTGTTAGAGAAGGAGACCGTGAGAGGGCTGCCAGTTGAGAAACCCGCAAACCTGTGGCAAGAGCCACAAGGAATATTGCTTTGTGAAAAACATCCATAGGGAATGAATTTACAGAATACCGATGTGACAAGAGTAGATCCAGTACTTTCTGTAGAGACCATGATGGAATATTATTACGAGTTGGAGGTCTCCTTTGGAAGAATGATCTACGCAGCAATTCCATTGATATTTCATCCTTTTCTATACCAAAAGCATATCTTAGTGGATCTGTGATTGCTGCTATGTGGCAAGAAATAGTAGGTGGTGCAAGTGATTGTGAATGGAATAAATAGGAAGCAAACTGAATAAAAATTTCTGGAGATATAAACTTAGGTCTTGTCTCTCTGATGATTTTTTTTGGAATTTTAACCATGTTGATTGATACTGTCTAATGGTAGAAGATCGATGTCCTTTGATAAGATCCTCTACTTGTAAAGGCTGGAAATTTTTGCTTAAGGCTGTACGTAGAAACTCCACACGTGTAGATTTAAAATTATCTGCCGCGTCAACAGCTAAGGTCATTAGCGTCACACGTGTAGACGCAAGTATTCTGTGACATGGTCCATCCGAGTTTCCTGAAGCAGCTTCCCTGTTCGTGGAAGTGGTTGAGGGCACCAGTGAAGGAGATACTGAATCCATGGTTGTGCTTCCCATAGAGGGGCAATCAATAAGACTTTGCCTTTGTATGACCTCAAGTGATTGATCACGCGAAGCATTATTGATGTCAGTGGAGGGGGAAAGAGGTATATTGACTTCCATTTGTTCCAGTCCTCTAGAAAAGCATCTGGACCTCCTTCTACCGTCACCTCTGCTCTTGTCAAATATCTCTCGATTCTGGGATTGGAGTGAGACGCAAAAAGGTCGATCTGGGGATGACCGTATTTTTGTGCAATTTTCTGAAAAACTTCCTGATCCAGAGCCCACTCTACCGAGGATGTGGTCTGACGTGATAATGTATCTGCCCACTGATTTTTTCTCCCTTCTAGGTGAGACGCAGTTAGATGGAGTCGACGTTGCTTCACAACACGAAAAAGAATCTCTAATGATTTTAGAAGAGTCTTTGAACGGGAGGATCCCTGTTTGTTTATACAATAAACAGTTGCAATATTGTCTGAAAGAACTTGAATTGACATATCTAGGAAATATTTTTCCAGATGCAGAGCCTTGATAACTACTTGTAGTTCCCTTACATTTATGTGTCTTCGTCTCATTGATTTTTTCCAAAGTCCCGATCCTTGGTGACCTTTTGATGACTGGTAGCCCCATCCCCAGTCTGATGCATCCGTTGTTAGAATTAAAGAAGGAGTTTTGGGAACCCATGGAGAGACTGACATTAGACGTTTCCTCCTCAGCCACCAACGTAGATGAGAGCGGATGTGACGAGGAAAAAATACCATCTTGTCTCGATTGTTTGAAGTGAACGCTGCACGTCCTTCGAGCTGTAGATGCCTTAGATGAATTCTCCCAAAAGGAATTATTTCTGCTGCATGATTTAATGACCCCAGAAGACTTTCCCATTCTCGACGGGATATATTGACTGAACACAGATTTCGGAGCAATTTTCTCCAGCACTTTTTCCGATTGATTGAACTCAGGGCGACTGTTCCTTGTCTTGTGTCCCACTGCAGTCCCAGCCACTGAAGTGACATAGTTGGTTCGAGGTGAGATTTTTGTAGATTGAAAAGGAGACCCATGGAGGTACCCACCTCTATTGTGTGGCTTAACAGTCTTGCAGTCTTCGTGTGACTGTCCAATTATGAGCCAATCGTCGAGATACATTAAGACATGCACTCCTCTTTGGAGTTTTCTTCCCACAGGTCGCATTAATTTTGTAAATACCCTTGGAGCAATGTTCAGCCCAAATGGAAGGACGCAAATTTGATCATTCTTCTCCCCTACTGACACTCCTAGGAATGGTTTGAATCGAGGGTGTATGGGAATATGCCAATAAGTATCTTTTAAATCGACTAAAGCAAGATGTACCCCTTGTTGCAGTGTCAGACGTACTTGAGCCACCGACACCAACCGAAAACGGTATGGTTGAATAAACTTGTTCAATCGACTTGCATCGAGGACAAGTCTCGACTCTGAAGAATTCTTCTTTGGTACTTCGAATAATCGGTTTATAAATATCTTTTTCCTTGTCTCCTCCACTACTGAATCTGTTAGTAACTTGTTGATTCTGTTTGATATTGAAACCGAAAATTTCTGAGTGTGGGGAAACCACAACGGAGGAGGGCGACTCTTTTTCCAGTGCCACTGAAGGCCCAAGGAAACGACCCGTTGAGCCCATCCCGTGGGCCATGACTCCTGCCAACCCAGAAGTCGGCCCAACTTGAGAATGTCACTCCTTTCCTGTACGAAAAGACTTTCGGAAATTGCCTCGGCGATTACTGAAAGTCAACTTCTCATTTCCACGCTTTGCATCATTTTGAAAACGCGAATTTACTGATTAAGAAGCTGCACCTTCCAGACTTCCAGAGTGATCAGCCAATTTATGGGAAGACCCTGTTGAATAACTGGATTGAAAACGTCCCCGTGAAGTCAATGGGCGCTTAGAATTAGACCTTAACTTAAAATTAGAAGTTGAAGGTGCATGATGTGATAATTGGAAAAAAAATATTTGGAATCTTAACTTCCACAGGTTGTGGAATCTCTTTAATCAGAGATCGAACTATTTGTTCATCTCCACAAGGTAGTCTATGAAAGGGAGTGTTACTCAAGAGATCCGATTTAATTTTTATCAGATTCTTAGGAATCGTGCTTTCCCGTAGTTCTAATCTCTTTATTACTGCTTCTTCTAGATGTGACTTTACTGTTGAGCGGTGAAGCGGGCTGAATGATCTGCCAACAATAAACTGCTGTCTGGTTCTTAATCGAGGAGAAAAATCCTCTTTGCGAATTTTTGGAGCAGAAAGAAACTGAGAGAGCATCATTTGTTCAGAATCCATATGCCACTGTAGACCACACACAGATGACACAGGTCCTGCAGATGAACTAGATTTGGCAGCATTTTTGTGTGTAGCAGATACAAGCCACCAATTCCGCAAATCTTCCACAGGTATTAAAGGTGATATCTGTGGAGTCAGAATTTGAAGTATTGCATGGCGAGGCCGAGCTGACTCAAAACGGACCAACGGAGATTCAGCTGGTGGTGCTACTAAAGAAGTAATGGCTGATAATGCTTGTGCCATGTCAGTTGCAGCTGAAGCACGACGAAAAGTTTAATTTTCTGGTGACACTTTCTTTGGTCGCCATAACACACATTCTGTTCCCAAGTACTCGAATGTTCTGACTTCCACATAGTCAACAAGAACAAGTTCTTCCTGACCTTCTCTTACTATTCTCTCATAAACAACAATTTCTCCATCATTATTTTGCTCTGCTTGCCAGTGACCTGGAATTTTCATCCAACCTCCACTTGGATATTGAAGGGGCTCTTCTGCAACATATTGCTACGCCAGAGGGTCTTTGTCTCTGTGCAAACGTGTGCGAGCGCGTGCGAACGCGTGTTGGCGTGTTTTGACAGGAAGATGACGCGGCGGCGGAGGAAGGGGGCAGACGGGGGAGTCGAGTTTTGGTGCCGCTGCTGTGATGACCTCGCGTGTGCCCTTCTCCAGCCTGATATACTTTGT